TGCACGTTGTTGTTTGCAGATTTAGAGTTAGACCCTAAATTGAGAGGCTTTGACACCAAATGCTTGGACAATTCCTTTTGGCAGTTCAGCAGATTCTACAGAGTTGAGTAGAACCAGGGGACGGGAAAATGTGACACAAAGACAGGGAAAGTTCATAATAATTTCTTCATTTTTTTTTTTTAACAGAAGAAAAAACAGAATTATAATGTGTTATGAAAACTGACATTATTGTTGTTTGTGACTTTATAGTGTGCTTTCACTAATCTAGCAAAGAAAAAAAAGGCAACATCACAAAGGATGGAAAACGAAAGTGAGTGTTTTAGTTTTGTGCTTAAAGTAACCCGGGGATAATACCATGAGTCTAATTCCTGTTAATGGTGGTGTATGTGAGGGCCGTTGAGTTAAGCTCTCATTTGTGCCAGAACCTAGGGATAGTTTTGAGTAAATTTCACTGATTAATACACAAATGACTGCTTGTATTGCAAAAGTAACATTTGAGAAAAGTTAGGGGAGGAATAAAAAGTTTCTGCACTTATTGTTCTACTCTTATGTTGAAAATGTTACTCATAGTGGGAGAAAATTTTCGTCATTCTTAGGTTATTTAGAAACTTTAGTTCTAACTTTTTTTCACTCTCTTCTACTGTTTCCCACTGTAAAAAATATATAGTAGCAGATTGCTGCTTTTTTAAGCTTAAAGCAGAAGCTGGATATGAGTGGACACTGTCTGGTCACTTAGATCATAAGCGTTGGTCAGAATTTCCTGAAATCTTTGAACTGTTGCTCACTTTCTTTCTTTTGTCTTTTTTTTTTCCCCCTTAGCAATAAATTGCCAATGTAACTGGTCATTAAATGTCACACCAAGGTGCTTAGGTTAATGAAACAATTTTAAATCAGTTGATTGAAAAGCGAGATTAAATCGTTTTTCCTCTTTGTGTTTTCTTTCGCAGGACATGCATCACTTTGAGGAAGAATTAACGTGTTCCATTTGCTACAGCATATTTGAAGATCCACGCGTTCTGCCCTGTTCCCACACGTTTTGCAGGCGTTGTCTGGAAGGTGTTATTCAGCTGTCAAACAACTTCTCCATTTGGAGACCCCTGAGACTTCCTCTGAAGTGTCCCAACTGCCGGAGTGTCGTCGACATCCCTGCCACAGGGATCGAATCCTTGCCCATCAACTTTGCCTTGAAAGCTATTATTGAAAAATACCAGCAGGAGGATTGCTCCGATGTTGCAACCTGTAGTGAACACCACAGGCAGCCGCTGAACATCTACTGCCTTTTGGACAGGAAGCTGGTGTGTGGCCATTGCCTCACGATAGGGAAACACAACGGCCACCCCATAGATGATCTCCAGAGTGCCTACCTGAAAGAAAAGGAGAATTCTGGAAAAATTCTTGACCAGCTGACTGACAAGCACTGGAGTCATGTGTGTTTGCTCATGGAAAAGCTGAAAGAACAGAAGTCCCAGTGTGAAAGCGTTATTGAAGATGATAAAAAAGTCATGGCACAGTATTTTAAGAAACTTGGCGATGTCTTGGAGCACAAAAAACAAGCTCTGCTGGCTGCGCTGGATGAAATCAACACCCGCATTTTGGAGGAATATAAGCCTGTCATTGAGAAGTTGGAGAAAATGAGGGAAGAACAGCTGGAGTTAATGTCGCTGAACACATCTGTTCAAAAAGAAGAGTCCCCGCTTGTTTTTCTGGAGAAGGTGGACGATATACATCGACGGATAAAAGCTTTGAAACAGAAGCCACTGCCGGATTTTAAAGCTGTGGAGATTTATCCAAGGATTGGGCACCTGCTGAAAGACGTGTGGGCTAAAACTGAAATCGGGCAGATCAACAAGATCCTCATTCCAAAAATAGAACTGGTTCCGAAAAGAAAGATACCCGGGAAAAGCGGCAGAAAGGAAGGAGGAGAACCTAAAGAGCTCTGCCAGGCTGTTAATCCTTTAGCAGTCCTGCCTCTCTTAATAATCGTAGTGGTAACTGTGTTTTCCTTTCACAAACCAGTATCGTCAGTTGTAATGGAAGCTGCTCCCACCTACATTTCCGAATTCTTGCTGCTTAGTTACCAAGGTTTCTGCACCCACTTACAGAATATAGAGGATGTGCTGTGCCATATGTTTAATTCCCTGATGGAGTTTTTAGGGAGAGCTGTTTCTTTTTAACTATTTCAGCCATTAGATTCAAAGTTAGTGTAGGAATTCCCAGGATTTTTTTAAAATTTCTATGTAAAAGCTGGGCTGTTGAAGTTCTACAATTTTCCTTTCTATTTCTGTATTCTTCTTTTTCCTGTATTCTATAGATTTCCTCTTGGCTAACTCTTAGGTAACTGAGAAGATTCTGCTCACCCAGTACGGTAGGTAGCTGTTTGTTTAAACTGGAAGTTAGTCAGAAACAGTGTCTGTGTAAACAAATTGTAATCTGGGATCCTCTTTTACTATTAAAAAAAAAAAAAAAATTTTACGTAACATAATTTTAAATTGATACTTTTTTTAACAAAAGCACTACAACATTAAAGGTCAAAAAACCACCTCGGACTGCAAACTGGCTGGTGCTGGGTGAGTCAGTCACTGGCTCTGGTGAACAAAAACCTCCTGTTTTGGGTTTTACTGAGCACTCTTTGAAGGTGTTTTAGCTGGTACTCCTGTGGTCTGTAAATCAGCTGTTTGTGGCCCTGGTTTCATTGTGCTTGCTCCTGGTTGGTGCTGGATGACACGATTTTGACATTGCATATGGTTTTTTAGTGTTCAAAGTTTAGTTTAGTTCAAAGATTTCAACTGGGCACAAATCAGGTGCCTGTGTAGCCTGGCAGGGAGTCACACTGTTGGCTAAAACGAGCCCTGACTTTTTGCTAAACCATTTAATACGTGGTGAACACAGACACAACCTGTAGTAAGGAGCAGAACTCCCGAGGAAGTCAGTGGCAGAAGGATTTCAAACGTTACGAGCCCTTAAAAGAACTTGAATGTGAATTTGTGTTCAGCTTCTCAGCACAAAGAACAGAGATCTTCACCTCGACGTAGAGAAAACGTGATGGCGATCGTTTGATTGCAGAATAAAATGCTGTCACTGCTCGCCACGTCTGAGGAGATGTTCCAGTCTAAACTGCTGAGGAGTGAAGCCCCCAGTGACAGCCACGTCTGCCTTCTGCTCTTCTCAGGCTGGTTACAGTGAGTACTGGGGCAGCCTTGAGGTGTTGCAGTTAAAGCAGCAGAACACAGAAGAGCTTTACAATTCACTAAAAAAAACCCCAAAAAACCACAAATGAGTATTTGCCATGTCTAATTGTAGTTGATAAAAATAATAGCGTGTTCTAACATGGCAGCATTTCTTGGCTGTTGGATATTTTGAAATACTAGAAGTTGCTTAACCACCAAGTGGATTCTGAGGCTGACCTGTAACAACTTGGTCTTTTAAAACCTTTTTGCTAATGAGAACGTGCCCCTCCAGGCACCAGTGGGGTTCTGGGGTCCCCTCCAGGCACCAGCAGGGTCCTGCAAAACACCAGTCGCTGCCGGACTCGAGCGAGGGCTGAGAGGTTGATCCTCAGTTGTGGTGCTGATGGTACGTTATGAATCTACCTAAATAATAATTAATTACCTAATTAATCTGAAATAAACCACTGAGTCCGGGCATGCAGGTGCTGCGCAGCCCCCTCTGCAGTGGGAGTGACATTCCAGTTTGGCCGAGGGTGGAGCTGGCCTTGGCCCGCGCGGTCGGAGCGGTGTGGAGAATTCCTATGGAAGTTTTCTTATCTTCTGGAGTTCCAAAGGTAGATCTCATGGGTGCCTCTGGTCAGGGTGTGAAACGGTGTCCCGTGTGTCCGGGGACTGCGTCAGTGCTGTCCAGTTAATTACCCAGCAAAATCTGGAATTGGTTTTGGCTTGAGCCCTGCTGGGTGTCTGTCACTGGGATGTGGGTCTCTCCAGAGTCTGTCCGCTGCCAGATGAGGCTCTTTTTTGTCTTACCTTCCTGTCCTGGCTTGGCTTTTAGAAACTTGGAGAGTTTGTAACACAGTTTGAGTTTTCAAGACTACAGGAATTCGTAAAACGCCTTTCCTGCTGGTTGAAACACGTAGTACCTGTCCTTTTAATGCACTGTATATTTTAATAAATTTGCATACAAATAAAGTCTATTCTTACAGTAAGATGGGCTAATGCCTGGATTTCCTTCCTGCACAGACCCTCCTGTGGTCCTCAGCAGCTGGTGCATGGGGCTGGACTGGATAGGGGGGATGGG